ACCACATCTGCACCTCCACTCTTGACCTTGCTCAGAGCAGGACCCATCCTCCCTCCTCTCAGCCAAGCAGAGCTGCTCTCCCTGCACCTCTGGGGAGCTGGTGTGCAGGAGACTGTCCGCATGGACCTGACCAGAGGCTGAATGGCCTGAGAAAATCTGGAGAAACTGCAGGCTTGGGAAGAACTGTGCCACATGGAGCATTTAGCCTGAGGAGTGGCTGAGAGGTCTGGGATACCTTTCTCAAAAGGGAAAAGCCTTCTCTGGTGAATGTGAATCTCTAGGCTGAAGCACAGGTGCTTCCTGCATGCCCAGCCACCAGGACAAACAGCAATCACTGAGTGCAGAAAAGAGTCTGTGCCAGAGAAAGTAATGCAACCACTGGGATGATTAGATTTGCAGAGGAAGGGACAAGCCTAAAGGCAGGTTTCTGGGTAGGAAGTGGTGAGCCTAAAATAGCAAAAGCTGGCCCTAGCATAGCTGACCTTCCGAGAGTAGGTGTTGAAATTGTTCTGTAAACCAATTTCTCAAGGTTTAGATAAAGGAGGGGGAGGGGGGTGTGACAGGAAGTAAAAGAAAGGGGGAAAAGGATGCAGCCTAGGGCAGGAACTCTCTAATGTGGCATTAGCTGGCATGTGAGATGCAGGACGTATTGCTGGTACCTACAGTTCTTATCCTCTGAAAGAAAACCATAGCAGGGAAAAAAGACAAAGCTCAGCATAGCTAGCAAGATGGTTTTGCATGACAGGAATAGGACAAGAGGGGAAATTGCCTACAATTAATGATTTCATGAGTGACTGTCCCGTATCTTGCAATCAGCAGCATATACACAAAAGCTGATGTAGAAGAAATCCTGAAAGTTTTGGGCAGGCTGACTGGCAGTGTGGTCAAACAGGGAGGCTGCCTTCAATCTCAGGATGGATGGGTCTCCAGCAAGCAGAATGGCAGCACTGCAGCTAGAGATGAAGGCTGGTGCCAGGGCAGGCTTTTGCTGAAAATCACAACACCACAGGAAGCAGAATAAATGGGGACAGCACTAATCAGAAGAACGGAACAGAGATGGCTCTGGAGACAAGAATCTGGATTTTTCCCACAGTCTTGTTAGACTTGGTACTAAAGAGGTTGTGATGCTCAGCTGCAGAAATTGAAATCTTCCCACAGGATTTTCAGACCGTCACTTATTGCTGATGCACACCTCGACCTTGTTTATTGAACTTATGCTAGGGGTTACCTCTAAAATTAGCAAAAGTATTATACTAATGGGTGAAGATCTTTAGAGTGGAGTAAAAAAAAAAAAAGAAAAATAATTTCTCTAACAGAGATAATTTCATCAAATTTTTATGTTTTTCATTGCAGGTATGAGCAATTCAGATGTGATGGTTGCTCTTCAGCGTGGGTACCGAATGCCACGCATGGAAACCTGCCCAGCTGAGCTTTATGATATCATGAAAACGTGCTGGAAAGACAAAGCAGAAGAGAGGCCAACCTTTGATTATCTACAAAGTGTGCTTGATGACTTCTACACAGCAACAGAAGGGCAGTATCAACAACAGCCATAGAACAAAGAACACTTTTTCTATTGCCACAGATAATTGGCACAGACTATCTTTAGAACAGACTGCTCAAACCAGTTACTTCATGCACTCAGATGTCTTAACTGAGTGTGGAAGCTGAAATGCTGAAGGAAAGAATAATTCTACAGAGAAATAATGTTTTTATTTGGTAAAAACAGTTCCTCTAAAGCTTCAAGTTCTCCTTAAAGGCTCTGTGTTTTGCATGTGTAGAAACAAGCCAAAGCTGACAGGCTTTTTAGGGTGGGGAGGGAGAAGGAAGGAAAGCAATCATCCCCTGGTACAGCTTGACAAGACCTTCTTAGGATCTAAGTCATGCGATACGTTACAAGGAGGCCTTGATTTAAAGGGTTGAGAGGATGCATGAACAGCTGTTTTCAAAACAAAAAGTCACAAAGGAGAACTTACAGATTTAAGACACGGTGATGTTCTTAAATCATCTTTTTTGAAATACAGCATATTGCAAAAATTATTTTTATAACCTTGTTATTTCACATTAGTATTAGGTATTTTGTCACCTCTTGTAAGACTTTCTAAACAGTGTCAAGGTTTCCTTTGATGAAGAGTTATGTATGTGATTCTTCACACTGAAAAAAGTTCCGATTTACTGCTGCAAAACCCTAAATCTAAAATAATTTTCAAAGCATTACAAAACAATCAGATGCAGAAGTGCAAGACGAACCCACATGACTGCAGACATGGCAGCACACCTCACTCTGTGTTCAAGCTTCAGCTTCCCACAAGGCCAAAGTCATCATCTGAAGTCCATGGAAAAGCACAGGATTTTGAAGGAAGTTAATACTTTCAATGCAGTCACTGAGAATATTACCAGTGAAAATATTTTAATCTTAATTTTTAATCCTCTGTGGTTATTCAAGAATATTCCTTATATTTTTGCTGCTTTAATCAACTAACCTCAAATCTGTTTGAAAGCTAAAACTAGCTCTAGCACTATCAAAAACAATTTGTGGAAACATGCAATAAGATATTAAGTTACATTGCAGTGACACTCTCAGTTGTTGCTTAGTATTACAAATCTAATTCTTAAAGTGAATGCAAGTTGCTGTGCTCTTTACATTGAATTCTTCTATCAAATTACTTACCGAAACAGATGAGCTAGTGCACTTGCAATGTAAGCACAGCACAGCATAGATCACTTCTTTTTCAAAGTGACACTGGTTCTTACAACTGAAACCCAGTACACATCTTTGCCATCCTTCAGCCCAATTATTTAGGCAAATGGTACTTTGCAGAAGCTTAAAACATTTCTGAGAAAGCTTCAGTGTGCCTGCAGTTGAAGCTCAGCAGCAGAAGTATTCATGGCTTTTCTTTTCCAGTGGCTTCCTTCAGTCAAACTGTGCAGTTTAAACAGACTATCAGTTAAATATGTAAATAGTTTCTATTGTATGGTGATTTTTAATTTTAATAAACACTTAATCTAAAGCTAGTAATGTGTTAGTAATTGGATATAAAACAAACAGCCGATGTTCTATTCCATGGTACCTTCATGTGGAACAGGGGAGTCTCTTATTATTACCACTACCAAGATTAATGGACTCTGCTTTCCTTACACCCTTGAGAAACTGAAAAGGACTAAACCCACCATTTTTGCATCCTTCTTGTGGTATCTTATTATTCTGGAGGCCATGAAGAGAAGAACCAATCCTCAGCTATTCTTGCAAACAGCTTCCCAAAAGCCTTTAACGCAATATCTACACTGTGCTTTAGCAACTTTTGGGAAAACATTAACAGTTCAGTACTGGCCAGTAGTTCACTACAGGCTTCATTTTAAGACTAAAAAAGAAGAAAAAAAAGAAAATAAAAAAACCTCAACTTTGCCTTTCAAATCATTTCCTGTAGCCAGCCAAAGAGCTCTGGGAAGTAAGAGGGAATATAGAAAGAACAGTTGCTCAGGGAGTACGAGGTTATAGTTAGTGTTACATAAAGTTGCTAGACAGGCTGCCAAGGTGTAACACAAGGTAGTTTGAAATGGTATTATGGAAATTTTCCAGTATTACCCCATTCTGATTATTTTTAACTTCTGTTTTAATTGCTTTTCATAAAGCATATTAGCTTTCTTATTCAAGAGATCAACATTCAGTGTCTCATATAACTACACCAAAATATTTTTTAATAGCTGTAATAGTTTATGTGGGAGTAGACAAATATTTTAGAAATTTTACCTTGCAGGGATTGTAGACCTTTAGAACCACTAAAACCAGATAACCACGTATTTAACAGAAACAGCTCTAAACATGAGAAAAGCAATGGCTGAAGTACAACCTCTACAGGCTTGTTAAATAGATGTCAGAGTGATTACTGATCACAGACCAACCCAAAATTCTCAGCAGCCTGGCAAGAGGAGTCACAGCAGAGCAGGGCTGTCCTCCTGTCACATGGGAAGGCTGCACCACCTACCGTCTCCCCAGAAAGGGAGAGGCTCTTGCTTTGAACTCAGTCCCCTTCCACTGTGAGAAACACCTTTACATGGACTGATCAATCCAATTTACTTACAGATTCCACAGTAAACCTCCAGTAATTACAGGCATTGTACTTCCACAGTAGTTAAAAATCCCCTCACCTTCATTGACTGGAAAGGGCTTTAGGAAAACTACTTTAAATTTTATCATGCTCCAGTCTTCCATCCTTAAGCTACTACATAAAAGCTAAGTAATATAGTCAAGGATATGATGCTTTCAACTCAAGATCATCCTATATCACTATCATTATTTGGGCTCTAATTTCATGATCTTTTCTTATCTTGGTTTTGTTGGTTTATAAAATGAAGAATCAGAGCTGAATCTAGCAATGGAAAATTTTATTAAATACATGTTTCAAAGTTTAATACCTATTCCTAGTAGAAATTCAAATTTTATTAAAACAAATTTCTTTACAAAGCCAAGTTAGCTGAAAATTAGCAAGGAGCCAGATGAGATGTCATTTCATTGCCTTCTTTAGCAGTTTGCTTAGTTTGGTCCCAAGAAAAACTGGGAGTCTCCAGGTCAAAACCAGAATATTAACTGAAGAACCATGCTATTTTAACTACTTGGGATTAAGTTTACAAGCCATCTGATTTCTAGCAACCAGCAATGAAATAAAATAATTTAAAAACATAACAAATAGCAGATGAGGGATATCCCACTTTGCATGAACCACACATTTATCAGTAGAGAAGTGTCCATGATAGAAATTACTCCAGAATTAAAATATATATTTCTCAGACCACATCCCTATATCAACAGTAAAAGCACATGTCTAGACCCAAACTTTTATAGCTCTAAATTCAACCTTGATTCAAGTTTAAAAGTTCTGTATGAAACATTTTTCTCATCAATATGACAGTGAAGATGGCACCTAAGAGCGAGAAAGAGCTACCAACAGTTTAATACTAATAAAGATGCCTAATAATTGCACACTTTGATTTACCAAATATTATTCTTTTGCTTTATGAGGCAACAGTCCTTGTTTTCTTGAATAGGGTGAAGCCTCTTCGTACTTCCCCCAGCCTTTACCAAGAGGTGTACTAGCAGTGCATGCTACTGTGGATTTCAGATTAGCCAGCAAACCTCTCCTGGGTTTCTGCTGTTTTGACTCCTCTGCAAAGAAATTATTTTTCTGTTCTTCAAGCTCTTTTTGCAGGGAAGACACTGTTTCTTCAAGCTCAAGAACACGTTTAGCCCAGTTCTGAAGACTAATCATTTCTTGATCCTATAAGGATAAGGCTGTGTTAAGTGTGTGAACACTGCATGGTCTCTTTTATGCAGTTAATTTTCTTATTCACATTATTTTATTAAATGCATAAATACCTTTGTTATTACTATGTCATATGGCAATTCAGTACCCATTTCTTCTAAATTACAACAAAGTAATTAAAAACCCAGCAAATTACAGGGCCATACAATCTAGTTAGAGACCAAGTCTGACTAAGAGGCTGATGCTAAAATGCTTTGCCACACTCTGCAAAGAACTGATGTTGTTCTAGGAACTAGATAAAGGCAGCTTTCCTGCCTTGTAATTTCTGAAAGCAAACCTGGCCAAATCAAAACTCTTATGGCATAAATCTGCTAACCAGGACTGAAAAAATGCTTTGAGTGGGCAGAATACAGACTGTTAAATACACTCTTTAATCTCTGTGGTTAAGAAAATCACCTTCCTATTAACAATGGACAGGAAGGTAACTTCCAATTAAAAAGTTCAAGTAAAATAATTTTCAGTCTGAGATTTAAACAAAAAAGTATGCAGAAATTAATATAATGTTCAAAGAAATACATCACTAAGCAGTTATTATACTTGCCAATTACAAGTGAAGCTTAGATTCAAAGTGCCAAGAGTTCAAAAGTTTCATTTTTTTGTTTGGGTATCTAGATGATATCTGAGGTAAGATGCAGTAAACGTTAGGAAGTCCCTGCTTTTGAAGGAAAGATGTCCATTTCTGTATTAAACAGTTTATCTGTCCCCATCTCTCATCCAGTTTGGCCATTTGTGGCAGAACCATCAGTATAGCTTTATAGCCATAGATCCTTAGGCTTTGTTTCAGTAGCATTTGTGCACACCTTGCTTGCCTCAGCAACATGCCTCATGATGAGTTGTAAGTAGTATTTTCTTTGCTTGACCAGAATTCATGACATCTTTAGATTAGCAGCCTTTGTCAGCAAAGCTACTCTATTGACAGAGTCTATCACTCAAGTTGAAAAATGAGTTTTGTCTTACAAGATTCAGAGTCAAGTAGTGAAACACAAGAGCTCTGAGCTCATAATTCAGGAAGTTAGGCACAGAAAAAATGCTAACATCAAAAAAAAATTGCTAATTTAACAGTGATTTTACATGTAAAAATATGCAGAAGCAGCCAGTACAACTATAGATACAAGCCATATTAAAGTTGTTTTTAAATCATTGACTAACCTTGAGCATGATTGTGTGCTTCAGCTGACTGTTTTCTTCTGCCATTTTTCTGTAGCCTTCATTAGCTTCTAACAGAGTTTCATTTAGTTTCTGTATTTTAAACTTCAGAGATTTTATAAGCTGAAAATAAAGCCCATACACATGAAAGTTCAAAACAGCATGTTTTACATTAATTTTGTTTACGACTAAAACAATGCAAACTGCAAGATCAACACAAGAAAGTCTTCTCTCAACCTCCTATGTCCCAGCTCATCATTTCAGGTGATAAAATACAGCTGGAATATTCAAAGGCTGTTGTGTTGAAGCTACTATGATTGACAGACCTGCCAGTCAATGAGCAGTAGCACAGACTAAGTAACATCTGGAACTGCCTGCTTCATTTCAGTAAGAGTACTTAAAAGAACACTTTTGTCTCATTAACACTACTCACATAAAGAACTGGAGCACAGTTACCACAGAGGACCTCACCTTTCTGATGGGAATATTAATGGACTAAGCTTAAGCCCCAAGAAGCAAAAGAAATTCTGAAGCAGAAAAATAGATGTTACCATTCATTCACTTCTACGACGTTGCTAAAAAACCTCACACCCTTAGCCCATGTTTAGTGGCTGAATGGGAAGAAAAAAATGAATTACAAGTCACACATGCACTCATCTTTGAGGTAAAGCAGAAAGGCATTGATGGAATCAACTCATTTAATCCATTCTTACTTCAGTTATTGCCAGAAATCAGTTTCATCATTCTAACACTTTCTAGCCACACAAAACAATCAATAACTGTATCCCCATAACAAGCATAAAAATTTCACAAAAATTTGAAAGTGACATGGGAAAATTATGTAGAGCTCTCAAAAACAGTGGAAAACAAATGCTATAGCCATAGCACAAGACATTAAACTTGGGAAGGAAAAAGTTATTTTTGGAGTATTCTTTCTTAATAGAAATGGACTTAAGTTCATTTTCCATTTACATGGTTTATTAGAACCAGCTGGAACTATTTCTCCAATCCCTACTCATATTTGATATTAGAGAAACAGCAAAACTTATGTCTTCCCTTCTCCCCATATCCTCTTTAAACATGGGAAATGAACTGTATCTTTACAAGAAGATCACTCAAGGAACAGAATAAAAAATGCATACTTAAAATTAATGTTTTCCATAATTCCCACATCTATGTGGTATTCAGAGCACAGAAGTCTTGTTTGAAGAACAGAGATATTCACCTTTACTTAAATTTAGGGTGATAGTGGACTTGAGTACTTTCAGAAAGGACTGCTTTAAGGCACTATTTTGATTTTAGATCTAAACTTTTGATTTTAGATTTAAAATCTAAACTATTACCAGGTTCTGTAACTGTCCTCCTATGCAGAAGCAGGAAGCATTTCAGGACGGAAAGCTCTGAGGTCACGGCAATATTTACAATAAATTCCAGCACAAAGCTAAACATACTTCCTTACTTCCAATTCATACCACATTCAGCACAACTTGTTACAGTAGCAAATGGTTTTACAGACCAGAATAAGGCCCAGAACAGTCTGGCAAAAGTCATCCACAACTGAGCAAGGGCTTTTTTTTGATAAGCTCAATGCCCATTTACAGGAATCTTCATACTTTTGTCTACAATGCACATCTTTAAGCATTGACCCATGATAGAGTTTACAATCATTACTCCCAGAAAAAAACTAAGCAAGAGCTACCTCCTCCTTCTCTTTACATTGTTTCTGCAATCCTTCATTGGCTCTCTTCAATGTGCTGTCCATAAGATCTATAGGCAAAAGAAAAGTTTGTTTGTTTATACACATTACCAGAAGTAAACTGAACTTTTAATACCCAGATTACATTCCTACCTTGTTCCATGTTATTTTCAGTCGTCAGAATATCCGAGCTCAGACTTCCCAGAGCCAACAGCCTCCCTGACTGTTCATCAAGTTGCCTTTCCAATTGCAATATTTTCCTCTCTCTATCCTGAAAAAAAAAAAAAATAAAGAGCACATGGCAGAATTTGTCTGTATTTCTGCTTGATCTCATGCATTACTGCACATCCTTCAGTTATACCACACAAACATGCAATTTTAAATTATTTCACAGATTATGGATAGGTACAGTAAGTGATAAGACTCAGGTCACAAAAACATCTAGGAGGAAGGTTCTTTATGAAGGATACAATTCTTGCAGTCTGAGGATTTCTAAAGTGTATGAAAAGTAACCATATGGCAGAAAGGAAACTTTAGTGTCTATATACTAAACACTGTTGCAAGTTAGCTTGATAACTAAGGAAGACTGTACTTCATAGTGTTACATTGCAATTTCAAACTCTTTTCAGTATCTGTCAGATTGCCAGGGTGGTATTTCACAGTGAGAAATCAAACAAGTGGCATCGTCAAGAAAAGTTACTAATCTAATTGTGGTTCTCTGAAGCTGCCCACTCAGATCCATGCTGTTCCCTCTCTTTGTCAACTAACCCTTCTCAGGGATTTCAACAGTTTCTTATCTGACTTGCTACCAAAAGCATCTTGCTTTCTGAATCTTCCCTTATGCAGCCTCTTGGCCAGTATAAGAACACTATTAAAACTTTTCTTGTCCTCCCTAATATAATGTACAGCTAGGATTTAACTGAACATAGAAACAGAGTCTAAGTGAGGAAAAGAGACAAATTTGAAGGAGATGGAAAAACACAGGCAATTACATAATATGGTGTTGCTTGCCAGCATCTGAATGGAGAGCTGTAAAAGCAGAAATATTTACATACCACAATCTACAAGAGAAACTCACTTCTCATGTCTTGAAAAGAACCTGCCTATCCATAGGATGTGATGTCTTATCAGTTCCAGAACAGGAGAGCGCAGTGAGAAAGCTCCTCTGGTGGACATCACAGTTCTATTCTTCCACTAAAGACAACAAGACCCACAGGGCTTATCTGCTGCCTGGATGCACTTAACCATCTCTGCAGAGGTTAGAAAACTGAGTTGCTCATAGCTAACCTGGCTGCATTGCAAAAGTAGCAGCAACTTACTAATGACAACTCTGAGTATTTCTATGTTTAAGCACATTCAGGACCATTCAGTTCTCTCCTGCGTGAAGTTTGATTTCTCATCAGTTTTTCATCCCACAATCCTCACCTCCAGACCAAAGATCAATTACAATTAAAATAGTTATCCTGTAACAAATTCTCCACCACCCTTTCAGAGTAGCATTTTACTCTACCTCCTATGATCCCAAAGATCTCTAGAAAGCCAGACTTCTGCATACATCATTCTCCTGGGTGTTCCAATCATTGCACCACAAAGATAAAGATGATTTGGATTTAACTGAACTGTAGCCTCAAAGATCCTGCAGTTTAGGTGAGCACTACAGATAGTGCCAGAGAGAAGACATCTGTATCCTTATGGTGAGCACTGAACACAGAACAGCAAGGCTGAACTGCTAGTTATTTTCCTTGTTTAGTGTTACGTCCAAAATCCCAGAGTGATTCTACTAAAGAAAAGCAAAATTTACAATTAAGACCCTAGAGCATACTTTAATGGCAGTCAAGTCATACCTCAACTTTCTCTTGTTCAGCTAGAAATTCTTCTATGGGAACATAATGGTCTTCAATTTGTTCCATTGCACACATATATGCGTGTTTCTTAATAGCCTCTTTATACATTTCAAATTTGCTCTCGAGTTTTTCTTCATAACTATCTTTCATATCTTCCAAGCGGTTGCTGAAGAGAACATGTTGGTTATACATAATATGTCTGCATTCCAGCTATTACATTTGAACACATGTATTCATCTGAGAATATTAAAGTTATTTCTCTAATCAGAAATAGTGAAATAAGACAAAAAAAAAAAAGCACTTTTTTCCTTTTAATCTCAATGACCCTATAGACATGCACCAAAGTGTAACTTCTACTTGGCATATACCAAAGAAAGTACTATAGAAGAACACACACTTAAAAAAAAACACATTTGTCAAAAAAAGTTATAAGAAAATCCACCAACATACAATGATAAAAGTGACCACACCTATTTAGATATTACAATTGAAGCATATATCCTGAGGGCATTTCTCACTTTAGTTTCTGGTTGGTTTTTCTTTTTTCCATTTAAGATAAATGCCACATTCATTTTCATATAATCATAAAACGGCCTGGGTTGGCAGTGACCTTAAAGATCATCTAATTCTAACATTCCTATCATAAGGAGGGACACTTTTCACTAGACCTTTCCAAGATGGCCTTCAAACACTTCCAGGAATGGGGCATCAACAACTTCTCTAGGAAACCTGTTCCAGTGCCTCATCACACTCACAGTAAATAATTTTTTTCATGACAATCAAGCTAAACCAACTTTTTGAATTGGTGGATTCAAACAACAGTTTGAATCCACTCCCCCTTGTCCTGTCACCACGTACTCTTGCGGGAAATCCCTCTCCATCTATTGTTTCACACATTACTGTCAAAATTTTAAAACATCCCCATCAATGATGCAGAACATCACCTCAACAGAGAAAAACCATCAATGCTAATTCATGTGTTTGATCAAGGCAACAATTTTAAAGCTAGCGCCAGGGTCAAACCATAGTGTGCTCAGCTGGCAACTTGGTATTAATTTTTTAAACAATTCAAACAGCAGGAAGGTGATTTAAAGAAGAGTTAAGAGGGAGTGAACTCAGCTTGAGAAATCTGAACTTGAAAAGAAATTCCTAAATTAACATCAGTGCAGGGTTCATAATTCATAAGATAATTCATAAGGGCACAGTAATTCATAAAATATCAAACTAACAGTGGCTCATAAGTCATGCAGAGGAGTCAAAAGAGCTATGATTCAAACTACCTTAAGCACATGCATGCATATTAACATGACAGAGTATGTTTTGGAAAAATTGGCTCAGTGGGGTACCTGTAACAATCTTCCACCTCTGCTAAGTAGTAATAACAAGCCAAGGCAAGCTCCAGTAATTACAAATTCAACAGAGGAAAGCTGAACCGAAAGCAGCATTACTTTTTCACTGTAAGTGGGAAGAGGCTGATCTGAACAAGTTTAATGTTCTTTCTTCCCTTTCATTCAGAGATTTTGAAATTGTGCAGCCCTGTCTTCTCTAAATAACATGAGTAGGTATGTCCTGAATATACACATGTATGCATATACATCCATATGTAGGTATGCTTTTATACACGTGGAAGCCTTTCAGTCTCAAAGCAGACTGCAATGTGACTTGCCTCCAGGCTTCCTCTGTTTCCAGCAGCTGTCGAAACATTGCTTCTGCCATCTCTTTACGTATCTTCACCTCCAGAAGGAGCTTACTTCGCCTTTCTGCAGCTACCTTCTCCTTTAAGTCCTCTGCAGCTTTCAAGAGGTCCTAAATTTAAAATGTTTCACCTCAAAAACCAAGACTGAAACACATGTTGACATGCATCTCAAACAAAATATTCAAACAGGCAGCCATCCACAGAGGGTACTTTTTAGTAGCCTCTTTTTTGGGGGTCTGCAAAATTTAAGTATTTTCAAACATAAATTTCTACTGCAAATACATCCTGTGCCCATCTTGATGGTGTCCACTATCAAAAAGTTTACTTCTGTTTTGGCATTAAAGAATAGTTTGTATAACATAACATAAAACCTACTTGATTTTTACAGTTTATTGTCATTAGATTGTACAGTTTTGTTTTTAAAATGCTGCGTCTTAACTCGTTACTGCTGTTTCCAAAAAAAAGGCACAAAAAACTAAATTATATTATTTTAAAGATATGTACTGCTTCCTTAATCTTCTTGTTGGGCAATCAGTTGAATTCCATATTTAGCACCAGACCTAACTAGAAAGCCACAGGGCATCTTTCCACAGCTACACTGAACTAGGCCACTCTAAGTCTAGTCTGTCTGACACTAAACAGAAACTTCAACTTCCCATTTGATGCAGCTTTCAGCACATCTCTTATGCTAAAACAATATCAGAAATAACAGAAATTGATTTCTTGGGTGCAGTTCTAAGTAGACATGCATTTACCTCATGACTCAGAATGGTGATGTCCACTTCCTCTTCTGCAGAGGTTTCAGTACTGTCAGCAAAGTCACCTACAGATGTGTTAGCACCAAAGTGCATGATAGGTTTGCCATCACCTCCAACCATCTTTGGTGGAAAATAACCAAAATTTTTGGGCAGGATTGTCTGGATAACCTGAAAAATCCAGAGATGATTTACCAATGCTGTCAATATTGTAGGTATCAGAATACCAGAAGAAGTGGCATGAATGCATTATTGTATTCACACAATATTTAATGATTTAATGAATATCGACAAAAGCTTACGTGCCTTTTAGCAGAAAAGAATCCATCAATGTAACATAATTCTTACATGAACATAAGACTTAAATACTCTATAAAGAGTGAAAAGGGAAATATTATCTGCCAGGAAACTTAGTATCCTTGTCTAGACAGGTGGTTTCTCTTCCCCTAAAATAGAAGGGTTTTGGTGTAGTTTCCTGCAAAGTTGATGAAAAGCAGAAAATCCCTACATCATTTGCTCCTTTCTGAAATACCATGACCAGGATTCAGCAAGGAATCAGCAAATCATGACAGGATTCAGCAATTCATGCTATTTACATAAAGACTTTAAGTAACTATGTCACAGGACAGCATATCAGAAATTTGTCTCCACAGTACAAAGTCTAGTTCTCTGAAGAGAATTAGAAAAACCTTCCTCTCTGAGATCATATTAGACATGCTATTACAGATTTGCAATAACATGACAGAAATAATCTGTGTCTCCAGACTAAAAAATTTATTTGTGCCATGAAACACAGCATAGCCCAGCAGCCCACTCCCTGCAAGAAGCAGATTCAGGGAACTTGAATAAAGTTAAGGCCAAACATCAACCCCAAGTCCTGAATTTAATGTGAGATTGAAACAAGGAGCAGAATCCAGGAGGAAATGATCATTGACCTGCTACAGCACACAGACACACACAGTCTATGGGCTGGATGGGATCCACCCAAGGGTATTGAAGGAGATGGAGGAAAAGCTTGCCAAGACACTTTTATTATTAATTACTTGCATTTAGCCAAATAGGAGCAATGCAGTTGCAAAAGATTTCATTTAGACTACAAAAGAAGATGATACTCCTTTTACCACCACTAACTGTCCAAGTAGTTGTGAACAACTCATCTTGTACAGCAAATGTTTAACTGCACCCAGGTTAAGTAACTCATGAAAAATTTGAATTGAAATCCTGCATTTGTTCAGATATATACTATAAATCTGTCATGCCTGAAAGTTCCCTGCGTTTTGCACAGAGCATCAGCAGTGTAGAACTGAACAGACACCTGCAGTGGTCTAAACATCATCACAAATAAGTCTGAAGATGGGTAGGACTACTAGAAGCCCTACTACTTTTAGAGAGAGGCTACATGCAGAAAAACTAATATGATGAATCAAGAATCCAAATCACACTAAAATCCATACAACCTGATCATTTCACAAATCACTACTAACAAAAAAAAAAAAAAAAAAAAAAAAAAAAATCAGAACAGCAGAGAAAGTAGATATACTCTTACCTGTCTGGCTATAGCTGAAAATTTCATTACATGCAGTGTTTCATCATATGTGGAAGTATGCTGATTGATGTTTACAATCATACAAGCTTTGCCTTTCCCACAAAAAAATGGCTGAAACAGACGAGTCAGCTTACTCTCTCTGAATGGAATATAGCTTGGCTTCATCCTCAGGGAGGGAAAAATATCAAATTGTGAAACAAAACAAAAATTGTAAAATTCTGGCCTACTGTAGCTTACTTTAATTCTGTTTCTCTCTTTCAGGAAAGATCCAGTACAATGCTCATATTTAAGCCCAAGCTATTTTATATCAAAGAGCAAGATCCTTCCTGGATTTCATAGGCCCCCCAACAAACTGAACTATTTAACAGAAAAAGTAGAATGGTGTCTGCATCACAGTCTCCTAGTGTTCCAAAGCAGACAGTGGAACAAGCCAAAAGCTAAGTACAGGTCATCTATCAGCTGCCTGATGAAGCTACCTATATAATTTGCAAGTGGAAATGAAGAAGACAAAACTGAAGCTTTGTACACAAAGTCCATTGTTCATATACATACACTAAAGAAATGCTGTTAGTTTGCTGCAAATTGCCTTGTTTTGCTCTCCACAATCACCAGTTATGGAGAAATGGTGCTCTGCGGGTATTAGGGTGACAACTATAATAAAAAAGACTTAAAAGATTTTGTAGCTTTCCAATTTTCTCTGTGCAAAGTGCTTGCAGAAATATAAAGGGACACAGTGTCTCCACCTGAAACTTGGCATGTAAATTACTTATCACTTACTTTGGGTTTTGATTTTGTTTCAATGCTGCAATGCACTTTCCAAGGATGTGAAGAGAATTATTAATATTTCCTGCTTCTTTTAGTCTGTCTCCAAAGACATGTGTTTTATTACACCTCTCTGAACCAGCCAAGTCACAGAAAGACAACCTGCATGAAAGAGTTATCCAGAACACACACATTAAGTTCTTCCCAGCTCACCATAGAGCTCTTTGCTTGCCTATAGCAATTACTTGCTGCTAAACTCAGGCCACTGAATTGTACCTCATGGAACAACAGGTTAAAATCAGAAAATCATCCTGGATAATCAAGGAATTCAGTAAATTTTACTTTATATTAGAAAAGCTGTTGAAATATAGGGAGCCCTGGAAGTTGGATAATTTATGTGACCATACCACTACTCACTTATACATAAATTTATTTAAATAAAATAATTTGTAAGACCATAAACTTTCATACAGCTAAAGTAAGTCCTATACAAATTATTAAGGCACATATTTCAAATGTATGAAAGCCTTATGTTCTTTATCCTTTCCAGCACAAGATGAAAAGCTTTTTTCTTCCTTAAGCAACATATAGTCATTCACCTAACAGTTGCTGCAATTTTTTTCAAGGGGATACACTATGATAGAGAACAGCAAGAAAAAAAATACAGATGCAGTCATTTTCTCAAGTTATCTATTCTTAAGAGTATTTATCACTGTAACATCTGACATTTAAAGGTGTTATCTTACAGTGAGGTATATTTATTACCACCCTTGCTCAGCAGAGACAAGAGAAGAAGCAGTAGGAGATAGGATTGAACTAAAACATTCTGTTACAGGCTGTCTTAATTTTTCTGCATCAAGCTTAATTAATCCGAAGGAAAAAAGATACACCATTCGAAAAAAAGCTATCTAAATGCCTTCAGGCCAGAAGATAAGGCTGTTTCCTCTAAACCATAAGAGAGCAGAGACTTAAGTGTAAGGACTTAACACTGCTCTCACAGGGTGCACTTACATTAGCAATTTATATTAATGGAGAACAGTTTTTAAGCAAATCACTTGATGGTCCCCTCTTACTGTACATTGGACCATGGAACAGTCTGAGATCATGTCACCAGAATTCTTTTGGGATGATAGATTTTAATTTACATTCTAGGAGCACACCAAATGTGTTCTCACAAACATTAGACCCATGAGGTCTAGTCTGGTCCCAGAGCAGAAAGATAGATTGGCATAGCTTGCACCTGGGCCATTCAGCACCAACTGCTGCCCTCCAGCTGTAGAGCTTTATCAGCCAGACACTTGAATTCTGCTCACCAGGACGTACAGTCTGGTGCTGCATGGTCTTACTCTGCCACCACATCCCTACTGTGTGAGACAATACACATTTTCCTCAATTTACACACTACTGACAGAGCTGCTTCAGCAAAATCATAGAGTAAGGATGGGAAAACACTTCTGTGTTTGTCCCTGTTGAGCTTCCAGTCAGTTTATGTGCTCAGTGGAGTTCTGATTTCCTTCTCAACTCTCAGAGGATTTGTTTATTATTACAAAGTTCCGCAGTTTGGCATGTTTGCACCTTATTAATTTTCCAAAAATATTTACATTCTTGGTAATCACATGAAGCATTCACTTACTCTGATACTCCAAGAACACATGGCTGATGCTCATCAGTTAGCTTGAGTAGCCTGATGGAAAATATACTGTGACTGGAATGGAAAGAAGTTGCTTTTAATAATCAGTTATGAAACTTAAGCAGTAACTGAAGCAAAGTAAAATTGTATGCTACAGAAAGCTCAGTGCTGAAGAAAGGACAATAATTAATTCACTAATTATCTTGGTATATTAGCTACTTTTGCAATGCATTCATTCAGCAGCAAAAAAAGCTGTATTTTATTACTTTCTATTTCTCTTCACACAGGAAAAGGAAAAATACCACATGAAGCCTACAAACTGTCTTGGAGAAAAACACCAAGCCAACTCACTAAAGTCTACTGAACAAAAGAATAGTAGTCATGTACCCACTTTGTATAGAAAACCATTGGCAGTATCTGAACTCTGCAAATCTGAAGGATTAACTTTGAAGCAAATGGTGGGGAGAAGGGAACAAGTTCAAGTTTTACAAATAATTTTGCCTACTTCAATGTGCACAGTTACTTGTTTGGTTTTAAAATAATTCTGTTTTCCAGAAAGGTTGAATTTGTAACACTTGAAAATCCAGTAACTCTGGTTTAGACAACAATCTACACAGGCAGTAGGCATGTCTGAAACCAAAGAGAAAAGTCACAAAACCAGAAGTGCCCAGTTTCTGATTCATTAGGAAGCACAGCACACAAACTTCTTTAGCAGTGGGCATTCTAGGCATAAAGCTCTGTAAGAAGAACATGAAATTTAACAGCAGCTGTCTTTAGCTAATATAGAGCAAAAACTTTTGCTTTTTAGAGAAAAAAGCAAGCTTAGTAACACTATGATTGTATTAGCTAAAAATGAAACATGGCCCTTTCACACTTAAAGTACAAATTATCATTAAAATCAAGAAAGGACCCACTTTCAATAGTAATTATACAATCTTCCTTATTTCCTCTCACTCCATCAAAAGCCAGATTCTCCCTGACCCCTGCCCAGAGCTATATAAAAAGGTAGGAGTTTAATTCTTAAAGACCAAGTAAGCTCAGCTTGAACACAGCAACCTAAAAGCATCTAGAAAATCTAGCAGCATTGCAAGATACCACATGACTTGCTCCTTTCTATATCCCCCAATGACAGGCTCCAGCTTTCCAAGAATTATACTGCCAGTAATGAAAAATTAACCAGCTTTTCCCTCAACATCCTCACACAGCCATTGTCACTAAGCACCACTAGAATTTACCAAGCATAGCCCTGCTCACACTCAAAAATGAATGTGATTTGATCTTTTTGATTGTCCAAAGACATGAATAGCAACCCGAGTGCATCTACTACTGGTCACAGAGTCTCTCTGCTAGTTTTCTTTCAGAGAGAATTTCATAAAAAAACCCAGAATAATTAAGGGAAGTATTAAACTTTTATTGAAGAGTGGTTCATAACACACATATTCTAAAGTGCCTTCCCTTCCCCTCAAAACAGACAGAGCATGCTTATAATTAGAGGAACAAACCTTCTACTTGATTGCTCATTCATTCTAGTACAGGCAAAGCTTCGGTTCTTGTTTCCTATTTTTAGCAGTCTGCAGGCTTCTTCAGTGCTCTGAACATTAATCCACTTTAAATCTGCATAAAGAGATCTTTTACATACATTTCTGATCATCAGAGAAATTGTGTGAAACTGCCCAGGTCACAAAACAGTATTATTACCTTTAATGTAACAATTTCCTCCTTGATCCTCACAAATTCTTAAAACTTTGCGCCTTTGAGGTTTTGATGTAGATGAAATACTTAATAGGTCGTACACATACTCATTATAAATTTCACAAAAGGAAATCCACACAGATGCTTGTGTTCTTTGGTTCATATTACTCTTATGAATGTCAAATGGAACAAAGTTCTCTGCTAATCCAAAACAGAGGAAGAGTTCAAAGATCAACTCATTGACAGATTTTAAATCAGTATATAGAATCTTCTAAAAGAACCTATAGAACCTGCTAAAAGGAGATGGTTTAGATACATCTGTGTTGCACACTTCAATACACATGGATAACTTTAACTTTCTCCAAAAAATGTTCAAATTTCTCACCAGTCATCTGTTTCAAGAATATGCCCAAGTTCTAAGCTGATGGCCTTGCTTTATCACAGACTTCCATCAGTTTATACATTATATTTGCAAAACTAAGTCTCCTCCTTCTCCCCAAAAGGAATGAAACTATAAAAATACTTTTATATAGTTGCACTTTCTCCAGAGGAAGACAAAAATTTGGTAAAAACCTATATATATTTACCTTGAAGTATAGTATTGGACTTTTTTTTATCCACTGGCAGTAACCCACTAATATTTCTTAATTCACATTATGTTTTTCCCACACACAACAGTTTTACACTTTACCTAGGGAGTTAGAAGAGTGATTGTCTGAAGCACAGTTAGAAGGATCCAACTTCCCATCACAGAAATTTGTTATAGCATTTGAGCTGCTCTCTGTCTCCTTGAGAAAATAAACAACTATTAGAGCCACATGAACAGATAATGAGAAAAGCAGAAGTTAAAAATGACAGCAACTCCAGTATTTAGAATTAAAATATTGAAGTAGTATTAACTATTAGGCCACCCTTACTCTAGCTGAAAATGAAATGTTTTTAATAACATGAACTATAATCAATAACTGCTCTTTCCATCACATGAATTATTGCTTGCTGCTACTCCCAGCAACCAGTTTTGGTGGCCAGTTGCTGCTAACACTGGAGACTTAACTTCAGAGTCCTAGGAGAAAAAGAATTCTGTCAGACTGCAACAGTCTGTTTTATGAGCTTTATGAACTATTGACCAAATCTGAACAGTGCTTCAGTCATCCAAAAGAACTGGAGAAGTTTCCTCAAGAAGTAATTGCCAAGGTGGTAGTGCTTAAATTATGACAAACCAGCACTCTTTGTTGCTTTAATTCAGACTGAACTAAAAGGCCATGAAAAAATAGACAATAGCAAAGTTTCTTTAAATACATACATTTACTGAATTTCTTTACACCAACAGAATAGTTTTAAACCTGCCAAGATTCACCAAAGTACAGCCCTTAAGTTACCTCTGGAAAAATTAATGTAACAAAGTAGCAACTCCCACTAGAGTCCAGCACCTTTACATACTACCCCTCTCATTTTATAGGCCCCTATAAATCAGGACATTCACCCTGATTTCTCTTTCCTGAGAGATGGTCATCCTACAGTAGAAAAACAGATCCAGAGAAGCAAACCCTAGTGTTAGAGCTATTCAAATGCAGCACTATCTTGATCATGGATCGAGTGCTGATGTCAATGTTACCCACTTGGTACATCCAAACGAGAATTCTTACAAACAGAGAGGCATAAGAACATAAAACCTTTGAGGTCTTCCATCTTAAAGATAAATAGCATAGAATACAATTACAACAAAATCCTACAAGTGACCGTTTTGCAGAAGCTGCGCTGTCTATATGATTGTGTTTCTTGAGTATTAGAAGCCCAACCACAGCAGGGGTCCTCTTTGCTGTTTGTGAAGTGCCAAGTAGGATATAGGACTGACATGGTATCTCATCTAGGCATGTCAAAAATGCAGTGGAATTTAGAAAACCCAGTACCACATTACTTGTGCATGTGATAAATTTTTGTAAAGGTATTGTGAGAAAACTTAGTGAATTAAGTGCTGCTATACTGCTTTTCAAGTGAAATAGAGAAAAGAGCATGAAGATGACTGCCTAAAAACAAGTAGGAACAGAAACAGATATTGTTTGCCAACAACAGAAGCTGATGCTTAATAGAAAATACAATAATAGGTGGGAATAGCAATACACATAAGGCATCTTTTAATCCAGTATAAAAGCCAGTATTTAACCCCATGAAGAGAATTAGGAAAGGGAAGGAAAGAGGGTATGAACCATGCTAAGCAAGAGTTGTTGCAGCAGTACTGCATACAAAACAAACAGTAGGACATTAAAGTGCTGCAGTAACTCAGAGCCGTCAAAACCAGGAGAATGAACAGCAAGCTCTTTCTGTGAGACATGTAAACTGAGCCTGGGAAATGAGCCTACAGAAATCCATGTCAACCAAAGCCAAGCTCACCAAGCCATATCTGCTCTCAGATTACAGCTTGAGAGCATCCAAACAGTGATGCTATTCATTCACAAGCTATCAAGAAGCACAGCTTCAGAACTGGGAATCGTTGAGCTATCTCTATGGAAGCATTGTAACACACAAACAAGGTCCTGTCATGTAATAGCTTCCTGATTCATTTTTACCTGTCCTTCCTGATAGTGAGTGTTGCTCTTTTCACTGCAGTGCATCAGCATCTAGATCAACTGCTGCAACATTCAGTTACTGAACTACAAGTAAGTCAGGCTGTGATTTAACAGAAGGAAATATTTTTATAGTGCTAGCTTCAAAATAAGATATTGACCTTTTGTTCCAGACCCTGGGCTCCTGCTTGTTCCTCTTATCAAGACTGCAGCTTCCATGAAATTTTGAAGGTATTTACTTACTAGCCTCCTAACCACCAACTTTTCTTTAAGACTCCCTCCTCCACTACACACATGCACATATTCAGAGACACTATCAAAACAAATATGTAATCCTTCAAATCTTTCAGATTTTTTCATCCAAGGTATTTCCTCAAGAGTTAACCAGACTCAGACTAAACAAAGTTTTGACTTGCAGGATTTAAATTAAGCAACAAAATTCAGAATGGAACTTGAGGATATTTTTTCAGGGTTAACTGGAGTACTTCAACAAGGTTAGTATTAAAGACCACAGAAAAAAGAAAACCCAATCATTATTCCTGTACATCCCAGAATTATATTAGAGTTGCTTTGAATGATAACCAGCTAAACCTGTTGCATTCTGGGATTAGATGCACCGAATCACAGTTCAGGGGAAAACATTCCGAGCAAAAGGAATCTGACAGCAAACTGCAGCTGGACTTGGAAGTATAAAATAGTCCCAAATACATGGATGCCTATTTTCTGGCAAGACAGTTTCTTACCATAGAAACAGAAATTACTAGATAAGAATAGGGGGGTTGCCACAGTAAAGACTTCTCTATTCTCCCTACAGTCTTCAGAGATCAGACTTAGTCACATACAGGCAGACAGGAATCCTTTTAGACATTTATTTTGTGGCATCTCCCTTCACTTTCTGAATCAGAAAGCTTCTTTATGAAGTTACATAAATCACAGGTTTATAAACTTTTTAATCTGCCTTAAGACTGTCTTCCACCAAAAGGGACTCTTCTCGCTGCCTTCTTCACTGCCTCTGCTAAGACATCATCTTAAGTGCCATCATCTCTCCTGAGCTAGTACAAGCATTTGAAGGACTGCACCAAGATCCAGCCCAGGAATCTGCAAGAAGAGCCACTTAACAAGAACCAGGTTTTAGTTAGGTCTTGTAGCTCTCAGACTTTTCAAAGGCTACTGTCACCACTGCTCCTCTAAAGAGGAGACTTCTCTCTAGAAACCAAGATTTGGCTTTCTGATGGTTTTTGGTTTGAACGGTGTGCCACAAAGTTCTTCCAGTTTACCCTGAGCTCCAAAAGCAGCCAATCATGTTATTATTGCAAGGTTCACCAAGTATGCATACTGTAGACTTTTAGATAGATAAAGAATCAATAGTGGAATAAAGACTTTTAAAACATCCTGTCTTACAGACCGGTTTTAAGAAGCATTTGGTCACTGACCTCTTTCAGTGATGCAAGAATAGCAGTTTTTAAGGCTTGTTCTTGCTTAGCTTGTTCATCTTCTAGTTTCTTAACATCATTGCTCAAATATGGTTTGAAGTTCATCTTCAGGTAATGTCTTCCTCTTATGTGCTTAAAAATCACATCAAGTGAGCGAGGTAAAATACCAAGGTCTTTTGGAGTGCCTTAATATTGAAAAATTAAGTGTAAACATTCATGTAAACTTGTCACTGAATTTGACTCGGGTTTTACACATGCAAATGTTTTTTTACCTTGGATAGTGAATGTCTTGCCTGCATTTGTAACTCCATAAGTAAATACCAGTCCATTCACTCCATTAATATATGCTTTTATGACATCTTTCATTGAGCCTTCAAAAAATTCACTCTGAGTAGTTTCTGGTCCAAAGACCTAGGATAAGGGAAAGAAAGAAAAAAAAAAGGAGAGACAAATGGCACAAAGAAGTTTAATAAGCTAAAATATTAAGTTTTGATTAGACGTGACTGATTTTTCAGAACAAGCTGGGTAGGAGACACTAGCTTAATTTCCAGTCTTGCCTGAATCCTTTCTGATTCAATGTTTTCTGTTGGGTTCTCACAGGATGCCTGCTTAATTCTGAAAGGCGCTCAGGCTTGCACTAATTTTTGAATATTTTCCTACTCCTAAAATAAACTGCTCAGAATTCTATTGAACACATGCTCATTGTCCATGTTCAGTGGACACTTCCAAGAGCTCTGCCAATGATGTAAAACTCCCTCCTCACTCTTCACCAGTTACCCACAATTGATGAGAAAAATCAGCATTACAATGGTCTAAATAACTCTGTCTCTGGAACTGTTTATTACTTGGTCCTGTAAGAACAAAACTTCTTGCAGTTAGGCAAAGCTAAGAAATTTGCTTTCAGTAAGAAGGCTTAAGCAGTTAAGCTGCTATTCTTTCAAAAGGAAGCTACTAAATACACACTTACATAAATTCCTACAAACATAAGGTTTCTGAGATAAAAGCATCTGCAGGAACAGCAGAACCACAGTAAGTTTGTGCCTACAAGATGTTTCTGTAGCATCTAATCAAAGAAAACCACAGACCTGCCAAAGAAGCTTCCTTGTCTCATCTAATAGACACCTCCATTGTAATACAGCTTTCCTGACAGCTTATCAGTAATTAATAAGCAGTTTAAAAAAAAAGAGCAAGTGCCACCACATGTAATTAAAAGAAGAAAAATCATGTTGCATGACATAATACAAAATTCAGCTTTCATTGTAGTGAAAAAAAAAAAACCAAAACTTTGAAATAATTTGGCCTACCTGAGAAAAGGTGAAGCTGTGCACAGCATGACCAATCCCTCTTTCACTGTTTTTCATTGCAGAAGACTCTTTGGGTGCACTAAGAATTACTGTCTGGGCATCTTCAATAGTTACACAACCCTTAGAAAACAAGACAAGGTAAACCAAAACAACACAAAATTATTCAGGAAGTAAGTTATCTGAACAAAACAAAGAATTAACGCCCCCTCCAACAGCCCCCCAAAAGCCTAGTGTCTCCACCCATTTACCAGAGCTACAAAAAGTTCCACAATTTACCTATATCATCTCAAGCCATGTCACTACAGAGATATTCACTTCACATGAAAGCCAGAGTACAGACAAAGTCAAGGCAATCCTTTAGGGTTTTCTAAGAGGTAAAAACTTTTACTAGCATTCCTTCCAGCAGCTCTTCCTTGGGAACACTTTCTAAACCCTTGTACTCTGTGACTTGCACAATCACTACAAAAATAAAATTACATGGAAATCTACTAGTTTTCCACATCAGTCATTTTTAGTGTGAAACAGACTAAGAGCAGAATTATCAAAGTAAAGTAAGTCCGAAGCATTATCTTTTGATTGATAAATAATGTTACCAGTAATGAAAGAAACAGAATTAGTTTTAAGTAATTTGATCGCTATTCTCAATTAAGTAAAGGTGAAATACAATTACCAATCACTAGCTAGATAAATGTAGGATGCAGTGTTAAAGGAAAATTTATTTTACACCAGACTGGCTAACAAGGATGCAAAGGGAACTCCCAGTGTAGCTTAACAATGTCTTGATGCATCATCTGAAAGGACTGATTGTAACTTAACCTGACATTTATGTTCAGAGACTGGCCAGAACTTCTAAGATCAATAATCCATGTGTGGTATGTACATAGGAGTACTGTTGTTCCTAGGAGCTTCAATTAATAAGTCTGATTATTAACTGATACAGAAGTTCTATGACAGTAATTAACTGGTACAGACCTCATAGCAGCCTACAACTTCCTCACAAGGAAACAAAAATGGGCAGGCACTTCTCTCTGGTGATCAGTAACAAGATGTGAAAGAATGGCCTGAAGTTGTGTCAGGGGAGGTTTAGTTTGGAAATTAGAAAAAGGTTCTTCACCCAGATTGTGTTTGGCACTGGAACAGGCTCCCCAGGGAAGTGGCCACAGCCCCAAACCTGACAGAGTTCAAGAAGCATTTGTCCAACACTCTCAGGCATCTTGTGTGACCCTTGGGGCTGTCCTGTGCAGGGCCAGGAGCTGGAATTTGATGATCCTTGCAGGTCCCTTCCAGATCAGTTTATTCTATGACTCTGAGAAGCTCTAAGAAATTGCTTTCTGAATTTAGACCAGTCACCTGCTCACTGTGCCAGGCTCTGAACCTATATAGTCTTTACCATTTCTCCCACATCAGCAGGGACAGGAGTGCTGGTCAGATGTACTAACCCTGGAGAGCTACAGAATAATCCAGGATCTGCAGTGTGCCATCAGCTGCCACCAACCTCACAGAAACCTGGGAGCAGAGGCCCAGAGTAGTCAGATCTGCAGAGATGGAAGCCAGCTGGTGACAATTCACTCCACTGGTCTCCCCCAGCTAACCCTGCAGGTAAGTTGGCAGGAGCTGGACCATTTCTGGTGCTGAACACATCATTTATATCCAAAACCACACATAATTTATATCCTACTTTCCCACAGGTGACTCTGGAGAATTGCTGACAGGGAGTACAGAATTTCACCCAGAGCTCTTAAGTTTAACTTCTATAAATCATTATCTCTTTAAGCATCAACTGACCAGTTAACCTGCTGATTGTCTTTGTTTAAAGCATCAGCCTATAACTGTAAGGAATCAGTCCTGGGTTCTACTTTTTTTTTTTTGTGCCACATATTTGGAACAAAGGTGCTTTCCTGAAAATTATGCATGGCAAGGAGGAATAAAAGACCTACAAATAACATTGATCTGTTTGATTTAATGATCAGGAAGTGAGGCTTACTTGACTGTTTTGTGTGGGTTTCTTCCATTTGTTACCAAGCATTTTCTTCTTGGATTCAGGTGATAATAAAGAAAGTAGAAAACACTGAAAATGTTGAAGATCTTTAAATCATTCTGGTTTTGGAGGCTGAGAAAAACGCCTTAATCACATGCAAAACAGATTATACAGCTAATAGGTTGGAAGTTCAACTATTTCAGCCTGAACCACATGAAACAAAAAATTTTGTACAAACCTCAATGTTCATTTTTTCTTCCCTGCTTTTAAGAAATGTCTCACTCCAAAGAGGAATGTACTCAACAACTCCTGAAACAATCTGATTTTGCAAATCAATTTACAATTGAAGCCAGCTCAGACTGTGGAATTTACCAAACTGGAAGCACTATTCAAGGAGAGCTAAGAAAAGGCAAAGGGAAGCTCGGGGCAAGAGAGGGAAGAATTATCCAAGTGAAAACAATACAAAGGTTCCAACTCCAGTAGATCAAAAGCAAGAAATGCATTTTTAAAAAACTATTTGCAAGAAGCAAATAAGAATTAGCATTAAATGCTTCTTAGAGTTCTTCAAGCTGACCTCTCCACAATCAGACAGCCTGCAAAGACAAGGGCTAAGAGATATGATATAGAGATCTTTGTCCTCCAAAGACAGCTAAAGGAATTCTTTTCATCAGTGATAACAATGCAGGAAGGAGGAGCACTTCTAAATGTTTGTATGAAATGTGTATGTATGAAACACTGAAGCATCTGAATCTGACAGTATAGGTTACAGAAGATTTTTGACAGGCTGAGAAAGAAGTCATCAGGATGAGGTAGGAGATTATTCAAGCATTTAAAAGAAGCTTAAGAGTCAGATAGTCAAATTACAACTAGAATTGCATAATCTCTTCCATGGAACTCCTTTGTATCTTCAGCACTACAGAGAGTTGAGACCAATTTTTAAATAATATACCCAGTGAAACTTTGAAGAGCTACAGGTGTACATGTCTATATCATAGAAATTATTAGAAGTCGTGAGGGTGGAAAAAAAAATCTTGCATCTATCCAGATGCCAAATAATTCCATATTCCATTCCAAGGGCAGTACATAGCTTATATAAAAGAAAGTTTGGCCTTATAATACTATGTGTTGTTCAGAGGAGAAAAAAAAATTATTTCTTAGTTCTACAACAAACCTGGGATTCATGGCTTTCAAGCTCTGCTATAGAAAAGGGTCTCACTCTCAAGAAGACTTTCAAAGGCTCATATACCTATTCATTAAAAAGAAGAAAGACACAAAACACAGTTATAATTGCCACTTTTTAAACAGAACAGCCCCGAATCATATCAGCATATGTATCTGATATTGTTTCCTATTTTATATTAATGTCTTATGTTTTCTTTCATGTCAATTTCAGACTCAAAGCTTTTATTTGCTTCTTTCCCTTCTACTGTCCTAAAGCAACCCATTTTTCCTGTGCCCCCCCCAACTATTCCCCTCCCTTTAGCATTCTTTCACAACAAAACCAGTGTTCGTGATTTTAAAAGAGCACACTATCAGGGGCACGAATTGCACTGCTTCCACCTTCTGGTCTCCGGCTGTACTGAATTCAAGCTGTGTTACTCTAACAGCTGTACACAGTATTGCACTTTCATTCTGTATGCAGCGTGTTCAATTAGCACTGACTGACACATTCTTAGTCTCAAGAGACCACTTCCTTACCACCATCCAGGCACCACCACACCCTCAGCTTCCTCACAGTAGCAAGCAGGCAACCAGTCTCAGTTGCCCAGGTGGCCTTTTCCATCCCCCAACCATTATACAACTCTCTCCTCCCAAGTAAAGCAATTATAGCAAGAAGCATTTTAGAGGAATCCCAGCACTCCTTCCTTTCTCAAGGACCTTTGGTCTTTACTTTGGCAACGTTTCATTCAGCAGATGGATTTACTCGAGTTCCCCACAGCCCTGTCATGACCAGCACTAATCACACAAAGTGAAATCATCTGAGGAAAAGTCACATAGGAAACGGATCCCTCTAAAAACGCAGAGCTGGGTAGAACTACTTCTGCTCAAGCACAGCAGAGCATTATAGATTTTTATTTCCAAGCACCTAATGAGTTTTTACATCAAGGATCTGTGTATTTTTTAAAGCTTATTAAAAAGAATAGCACAGTCTCATTACATTCAAATTGCAATTACTGAAGTCCTTTACTTGTTTTTTTCACAAGGTTTAGCACATCATATCGCATAGCACTGACCATGGGTTCGCATTTGGTGCGAGCTATGACCCGTGTGTAAACAATGAGAAATAAGCAGAAGAATCAAACACATCCCGGGGCAGAGAAGTACAGCAGTTCTTACCAAAGAAACATTTATTAAAGCTTAAAAAAAAAAAAAAAAAAAAATCCATCAATAAACAGCCCAGTTTCACCAGAATACACCTTGTAAAACCAATCCACACCTGCTGTTCCTCTGTATTGGGCAATACTGTTGATTCCAAGGGGGAAGGTTTACCATCTACACTCAGAAAAGAAACCGATTCCAACACATCACACACTTCCATGGAAACATAGTTCTTCCTCTCATCAGCCATCGTTCTCTGCAAAGGAACTTGTAAAGAAAGGGATTAAAAAAAAAAAAAAAAAAAAAAAA